GAGAGAGAGAGAGAGAGGGGGGGAGCGCAGGGAGAGTGCGTGCGCGCTTGCCCACTCTCTGACTGTGTTGAAGAAGAGGGGGAGGGAGGAAGGGAGTTTCATTCGGCTGACGCGCAGGAAGAAGGAGGGATAGGGTAGGAGGCCTGCAGCGCCTCCTCGGGCGAAGGGGGAGAACTCAACTCGAAGCAGGCAGTAGAGTGAGAGAAGGAGAGCGAGACCTCGCAAGAGGAGGAACAGAACACTTGCGTTCGCGTGCTCTCGCTGCGATTCCTGTGCAGGTAAGGCAGAGAGAGGGGAAGGAGAGCAGGTTTGCGTGTTTCCCTCAGACTCGCTGCGGGGTTGATACCATTTAGAAGGCTTCTTCTCGCACACTTCTGGTCCTCGTTTGCCTTGATACATCCAGAACTCCCGGTTTCCGCACAGTATCCCTGGCGACCGCGCAGAGCATCCCACAAACTGACCTTTGTCCATCCCCACTCTTCTGAAGAATGCAAAAAAAATCTTGCTGGAGCGCCCGACCACATAGACTAGAGAGCATCCTGGAGTCCACCCCCGCAACACATTCTGTTTCTTGCTGGCCACCAGAATTTGTGGCAGCTTTGCGTGTTCTCTTCTTGTCCGCCGGTCGGCACGACTTTCCTTGAGGCTGATTGATGGTGAAGTTCTTTTTGTGTGCGCGTTCACATAGACTGTCACGCCTTGTCAGAGAGCGACGGTCATTCCTGTGGGGCCAGCATGGCCCTTCTGAGACATTCCGGCAGGACTTGAAGAACACACTCAACGAGGCGTGCGTGCAGCTTGTGCCTTCACTGTGAGTGTACACCCAGTGATGAAGCCGCACTCGCACATGATCAAAATGAGGATGCGGAGGCCAAGTGCACAGCACCCCCGCCAAAGCTGTCAACTCCCGAGACAGGCCTGTGACTTCAACTCGTTTGCGGGCTGGGCCTTTGATGGGATGTCTTGATTTGCACCCTTCTTCGCATCCTGCCAGCTCCTTCGCTTCGTGGAATCTTCGGAGAGTGCTTCTCCATGCTCTTCGTGCACTGGAACCTGAAGAAGATTTGAGCCCCGCCTTTTGCAGAAGAGTTTCGCGCCTGACACTCGGGTGTCGGGGGTTTGGCTTCGTTTTGCTTAGTGTGGATCGCTCAAAGCGAAAAGCACGCAGTGTGGGCTTCTGGCTGATTCTGGCCCAGACCAAAGTCATTGCAGGGCTCGCCAATTTTCGAAGCGCGACACTCGTTCGAGACGCGCCTTGAACCCAGGAGACGGACGAGTGTTTGGGGGCTCGATCCCTGACCCCTGAGCCCGTTCGAGCTACCTTTTTGGGCGAGGCATTCAGCGGCTCCGCGCCTGTCGTAAGCCTTCTTAGCTCCATAGTGCAAATCTGCTTGGCTGACCACTGCGGCGCTTGAGCAGAAGCTCAGCTCGCGCAAAATTGGCAAGCAAGCAGAGGAGACAAATGATGCTACCCCAATGCTGGAACTAGGTAGTTTCAGCAGTCTGGAGGTTGTTTGTATTTCTGTCGAGTGTTTCTGAATGTAGTACGACTTGGAAGCAAGCCGCCCCGTCATTGTTGGTTTTGCTTAGCTTCGCCGTGCTTCCAGAAATGGATCGTCTTCTTTCTGTTGTTCCTGGCTCTACCAGATGTGGGGGAACTTGTGGCAGGCGCGCATGCCTTTCATGTACCAGCAGCAACTCTGCCTGGCTCACACTGGCCTGAGAAAGAAATCACTGTAAACTCAAGCAGATCCACCCCTGTTTCGTGGCGATGGAGACTGGTATCCTCGCGAGCTTTGGTGGAGCGGCCAGCAAAGCCAAGGCAACTTGGAACTCTCACTCAGTCACTCAGGAAGTCTACGTCTAAGAGAGATGGGGTCAAAATTATCGTTAATGTAGTTTAGTGTAGAGGGTAGTTGTTGAGCCAGAACTCCCAAGATCGGTAGGGGACGCGCTGAACGATAGGGTTACTTATACTTTGGTCCCTGCAAGTGCCTTAGGCGAATTCCTCGGAAAACGATAGGGGACGCGCTAGTTCAAAAACATAAGCAGCATGAACAAGTAATTTTGACGCCGACTCTAAGAGCTCTACACGTGGTACTCCGATGCAGCTCAGATGCAGCTCCAGCCTGGCTGCATTTGGCTCTTGGACTTGTGTGCTTTCGGTCAAAGGGCTCCGCGGGCTCAGCAAGACTCACCATGACTCCGCCCCCGCCACACAGGCTGCAGCAACCTTCGCTCAGCTTCACAAGACAAGCTCGTTGGATTTTAAAGACGCTTGACTCCACCAGCGCGACACATGTTGTGTCAGGTAGAACTGTATATACCTTCGGCAGTTCAAAGGCAGCTTTGCCCGGGCGGCTGTCAGAGGCACGGCGAAAGTTGCGAGGAGCTGCATTCATCAACCTACGTCTGAGAATTCGCAAGTCAAATCGTCGCATGTCAGCACGATACAGGGGCATGTCGTATTTGGTGATCAGTGAAATTATTGACAGTTGAGAGCGTTCTTCGATGCCTTTAGCATCTTCGTCAGTTGAAACATCTTTCTTTAGTAGAGGAGGAGACGGCAGGTGTCCAAGCTCTCTCCCAAGATGCCTTACAACACACCGAACTCACCCCTCCGTGTTTTTGGAGCGACGTGTCTGTATTGCAGCAGGCGTCAGTGGAGTCCGCTGCCTTCGTACTTCCAGGAAGGTTGCAACGTTCCCTGGCATTATTCAGGCTAAGGTTCCGCCAAGACAGCCGCGCAAGCAGCCATGGATTCCGCTCCTAGACGGTCGGTGCAGAAAGAGTTCATGCAATTCGCGCAGGATGTGTTCGCTCTCCAAGTTTTTGTCTGGACATGCTTGTCAAGGGCCACCTTTAAGAAACTTTTCCCCCCCCACACAAGCCTCTTAGCAGAAGCCTCATGTGCGACGTCGAGGCGTGTGCCACCCGCTGACCACTTGCTTATCGCACCATAAAAAGGCGGACATGCGTGTTTCTGCCGCAAAATTGAATGAGATAAGTCGGAGTTTCCTGCGAGGCCCCCAAGTGGTCCTTCGCCGAACGCTGCCCCGACCAGCTCGCACGGCCACGGCCCGTGTGCCCCAGCCGCAGTCCAGGAGAAAGCAGCCTTTGGTCCCACCTCTCAGTCGCTCTCCAGGCCAGGGCCTGGCACCTACGAGGCACGGGGGCATTTCTTAAGTTCTTATAGCATCTTGCTGCGATTCTGTTGGGCAGGTGTCGGCTGCCGAAACAGCGGCGAAGCCCCCGAGATGCAGTCTAGTAGTCGGATCATGATATTGAAGCGAGAGAGAGAGAGAGAGAGAGAGAGAGAGCCAAAGATCACTGCAAGGATGTGCGTGCATTGACAGTGACCAAAGATTGAAACTTGCAGCAGCCAACATCTACAGAAAGGCTCCATTCCGAGGACCTTCCAGCGGCCCCCAAAGTTCAGTTTCGGATCCGCCGGCCGGAATTTGGTGGCATCCAAGCTGCGCAAGGAGCAAAAAGCGGTCGAAGCTGAGTGCCTAATGTGCCTCATATCGTGGTCGATCCACGTGGGATGGTGTAGAGTCTTAGAGCTTCGGGAGAGCAAGACACATTGTTGCCGGCGTACTGCGAGGAGACAGAGACCCCGGGTCCCGGCGCGCCACTCGCAAAGAACTGGCGATGGTTCAGACTGGCGGGTTTAGGGCTTCGCATCGCTTCGCAAGCTTCCGGCCGATTCTCCGTTCGATAGCCGATTAGTCGTTCTGACATATGTTTCCTATCTCTGTGAACACGATGTCCAAGGTATGGGGGGCATTACACAACTTTCGGGTACTGAGCAATCTGAGTGCTTGTATCACCCTTCTAGGCTGAGGGTGCTGGCACCCCTCAACGATGCATTAGACCTGCGCCCAGCGCCGCAAAAACTCCAGGAAGGCTACACTTGAGGAATCTTTTTGGCAGGTCTAGTTCCTGGATTCTACCTTGGGCGACACGCAGGCTTCCTTAGGCTTGAGCCTACGGGCACAAGATCTTCCGCCACTCGTAGAGACCCGAAGGGTACTCTGCTGGTGTGCACTTACGAGAAATGGCCACAGATGTGGCAGCAAGAGCGCATGTTCCGCACCTTTTCTCAAATTTCGCTGCGATCACACGATTCAACGGACCTGTGCAGCAGCGAACCGACGAAACTGGATGGAAAAAACAGCAACGCATGCAAGGCCACCTGCCTACCTGCGTACGAACGAACTTACATACACACGCACATACATACTTACATACATACCTACATTTTTACATACATACACATCCAGCCAGCCAGCTAGACAGCCTTCCTTCCTTCCTCCATCCATCTCCATGTGCACATGCACTCACAACAACATCTACATACATGTGTATGTGCGTATACATACACACATGCACAGACATACATACATACGTACGTATGTACGCATGTTCGTACGTATGTACGTACGTTCGTACAAAAATATTTATACAGATATACAGTTGTATAGTTTACACAGCTTGTTTCAGCAAGCAGCAGACAAATACTTGTATGGTACTGTATACATACATATATTGTACCCCAGCATGTGCCTCTGCCTTTCTTCTAAGTCTTATAGCTTCAGGATAGTGCAGGTTATTGGGCTCGTGGGGATTGCCTGTACGTTATCGCAACTTTCTTGCTCACATTAAGCGCAGAACTCTCGCCGCGGAACAAGATAGAGTGGATTCACAACGTACTCAGTTGAATACGCCTCGGATCAAAGATCCCATTCTCGGGGGCTCGGGGGGTACTTTTCTCCTGCGCCTTGAATGTCGAATCTTGGATCCGAGGCATATTCAAGTGAATATGGTTTGAATCCGTTTGAACACGCACTGTTGTGGTTCCAAACCTTTTCGTGTGGAAGGGCAGGTGGAACTCTCACAACAGGAGGGCTGTGCTCCGATTAGTGCCACGAGGAGCTCGGCCGCCGCAACAGGAGAATATCATCCAACAGACTCCGGGCGCCTCGATCGTATTCCACGAGATGCGATCGCTGCTGACCAAGGGACGCTACCATCGGCCTTTGAAGAAGGTCAGAGGAGCAGCAGGCCTTCCTAGTGGCAGTGCTTGGAATGATGCTGCGCACAATCGCTTGCTGCGTATTCTCAAATGCGAATCCTTCAGGAAACCCATGCTAGCCATCGAGGCTGATGACACAGCTTCTCAGGACCAAGAGGGAATCTCTCACAAACCATCCAAGACATTGTTGAGAATAACCATGAGGACAACGGCGTTCCACGGCAAGCACAATCCCCAAGAGAACAGCATTCCACCACAAGACTACTCATCATCGTCTTGGTCTTCGTACCTTTGCCTACATGCCAAGAAGTCTTTCAGTGGACTTCGGGTTCAGCGGAGACCTACAACCAAGAAGTTTACCTAGCAGAACGCGCAGAAAACCCAAAGCTTTGCAAGCTGTTTTGCGTCGTACGAAACAACGCCCAGTGGAAAGCCACGTAAGTTGTATGAAGATGCTCAGGCCCAAATACATGATGAAGCTGCTATCGACCTCCTTCTCGACATCAACCATTCGGCCATTGAGTGCATGGAGAAGAAGCTGTGCAAGTTGAGGAGGGGCACGTCGAGAAGAATGCGAAGAAGATCGCATTCTGGGATGGGAGTTCCTGGAAGGACATCGAGGTTGATAAGGCCACCTTTGACAGATGCGACATACATATCTCAGGATGTGGAGTGAAAACAGTTGATCACATCCAAAGACAGCGTCAGGATGTGGGGGTTATGGGTGGGCATCACTCAGTGCTGTCGCTCCGAGACCTTGATTGCAGCCCAAGAACACCGTGAAGGGCCCGAGATGTTGCGTGATCGTAAAGTGATCCTGCACACAAATTCCGCCAAGAGCTGCAAGCTTCAGTTTCCAGGCGTGCTCCGCGACAAGGTTTGCATTGCAAGATATTGGAAGAAGGGAGTCAAGGTCTCGGGGCATGGCAATGGGAATGCCTTCACTGCGCGCGGATCGTCGCCCGCAAATTGCCCGGGAACCAAGCGGAAACAACCCTCAAGGTCAAGTCCGGTACCCGGGTCATGGATCGGAGCTGGCATTTTCTCAAGGAGCCTGTCCTTGTAAATCAACATACCAAGGCGGGCAGTTCCTTACATTTCCTCACTCCGAGCAAAGCTCATGTCCCCCCCGTATGGCTACTGTAATCAGAATGCTGACCGGTGGGTAGGATGCACGTCTGTTCCGGCTTCATGCGGAAGTTTGTGTCCACCGTCTATGAATGCGCAGTTCTGCTACAACCCAAGGAAATCGAAGGGCTTACATGAGCTTTCGTACACGATTCAAGCACAAAGTGTGGGCACATGAGGGGGGTAACACGTATGTATGTAGGTAGGTGTGTATGTAGGAATGTAGGTATGTAAGTATGTAGGTATGTAGGTATGTAGGTATGTATGTATGTATGTATGTGCACATAGCAAGAGCTATCAGGTAGTGTCAACACACGACAACAACCGTCGAAGGCCGGCGATAAGTGTGAACACGCATGGAAGGCGGAGCACGTCTGTGCTGCGCGTGTATATGCGTACATATACAGACATATTTGTTGCGTTGGTCGTTTGTTCATTGTGGCTGTCGTTGCCATCGCAGGTAGCGCGAGACCGCAGCAACCTAGACAGGCCGGGTGAGAGAAGTGCTTTCAGTCGCTGCAGGGCTTAGTTTGTATTCTTTGGGAAATCTTGGGAAGCAATAGGAGGTCCTGCCCAATTATTCCGCTACGGTCGCCCTTGTATTTCTGCCATGGATGACAGCACAAAAGCAAGCTGATCCCTACAATATTTAGCCGCCCAGTGCCCAGTTGTTCCAAACTTTGGTAATCTCACCCAGTGACCGCAGACCTACTGGTTTGAATCATGTTTTGGACGATTCAGTAAGTCCCCAATTCTCGTTGCCAGATGCCCGAAATCCCAACCGCCCCAAGATTTTCAAAAGGACACTGTATGGACCCATGCCTACAGTGCAGTAGGCCAGAGGCTGTGAACTACAAGCCTCATTCTCATCCGTTTGATCCTTCTACCCACGCCTTCTGGCCGATGGAATGAATCAGTGCGAAGGTAACACCTGTTCGGAACGAACTGAGGTTGTGGGCCCTCAGTGAGGAACTCACTGGCATCCAGTCCAGCATTTGATTCATTGGACCAATTGTCCATCACGACGCACAAGTTCTCACGAAGGCCTAAATGTGGCTGTCGTCAGTTATGTGCCATGCCCAGAAAACCAATGGTTCTCAAAACCGCAGTGAAATTGGCCTGCTGGTCCTGTCTGACGTACTTTCGCGTAGTTTGGCACAACACGGATCCTCGTCTGATTGCACGAAGTCTTGGGTGCTGTGTTGAAGCAAGACATTGCGCAAGGGCTTCTGTCTGGGATCCTCAGGGATCAGGTGCCCCGCAGAGGGGCTTTCACTCAAACGACCCAACCCGCTCCATGAGGGTGTTTGCTTGACTTGATGAGTTATGGGAGGCGGAGTTGCCAGAAAGATCAGCTGCAACGTTCTTCATATTCCTTTGCCTTCAAGCGTAGCGCCACATCACAGGATGCGCCATGGTTGTGTGTGATACGCAGTGGGCAGTCAGCACGGCTCTTCATAAGGATCGGAGTGGAAATTTCCGACGGCTTGAAACGAAGAACATCTTACCGTATCTTGCCATCTTAGCCTTCTCGCCTCAGTGTTTTCGCCCATGATGCACCCGGCCATTCGCGGCCTGCGACGGCTCTCCAGTGCGAGGCCTTCTGTGCAAACTGAACCATGGTGCGGGAAGGCTGTAAACCGTCGTGGCCACAGTGGAAGTTGTTCCGCAGCGTGGGCGCATCGGAAAGCGTGTCGGGCGTTCAACGCTTCCTAGCGGTTGACCAAGGCGAGCTTGTCGTTCAGGATCAAGCCAGGCAAAGCCTTGGCAGCTTGAGTCTGTGGGCAAGAGATGCAGTTCAGTGGGCACCGATGTTACCTAGATACTTCAAGACGCACATCACGCCGCGTAGTCTTGTGCAGTCGGCCCATGGCTTCTAAAGTGGCTTCAAGGTCAAGCCTGCCGGCCAGAAGCGAATTAGGATTTCGTCGAAGTTGCTTCTACAATGACGGACTCGATGGAACAAGTGCCAGGAAGTCTTTGGTGCTCAGCAGCATCTCTTTCCTTGCCAGGTCGCATCGAACAATAGCCGACGAAAGCGAGGCGAGAGCGGCATATCGTGGCAAGATCACTGCAATTCTCTGTGGCCCAATGGACAACAAATTCATGTCACGCTGGGCTTCATTTCAGGGGTATGCTGTGTCGTCCGGAGAGCAGAAGGGCAACGCATGGGCAGGTGTCAGCGCTGAAGGGTGCTGACCCTGCGCTTAGCCCGTCGCCGTGGCTTAGCAGCATGCCTGCCAGGGTGCAAAGGATTCAGAAACTGCAGATCAGGTATCATGCCTTCGCGCGAGCGCCGAGCAAGCTGGCAAGCATGTGAGGGTGTCTGGAGCTTCCGAACTTGAGTCGTTCTTTTGAGTTGCCTCGCGATGCCTCGTGTATGATGTGGGCATGTGGATGTGAGCCGCTTTGTAAGGCGTGGTCCTGGGACGGCCTCGCAAGTGGCCTGGGCCGGAGGCGAGGCAAGACTTTTGCAAATAGCCTCGGGATTGTGGTGTGTAGGCCCGCCTTCGCAGAAGTTGATTTGGTGCACCTGGAACAGGGCTTCCCGACGACCGTCAGGCTGCTTTGGGACGACAAGGTGCGACTGAACAGTCTTGAACTGTCAAGATGGTTGCATAGCTCACAGAACCCGCAACGGCCTTAGTGAGACTCGGAATGGCTCGTGGATCTTTCGAGCCTTTGGTTCGTATTCCTGGAGAGTAGGTAGCTGGGCTCCGTTTTGGATGCAGCTTCCCCAGCAAAAGCTTCCCTTTCCACAGGCTCTGTATGTCTGCTGGGAACTGGAGGGTCCCACGACGGCGGCGATCGATGATCTTCGCCGCATTAAACACACGGCAGGCTTCGAGAGCCTTGAGCTGAAGCCCCAAACCCCGCAGCCGCAAGGCACTGCATGTGCTTTCTCCAAGAGCCAAGGCTAGCATGGTGGAGCCGGCGGTCCTCGAAGGACTTGAGGTTTCCGGGTTTCCTTCCGCCTCTTGCAACAACTCTGGCAGTGGCAGTGGCAGTGGCAGGGCGGGAGCGTTCCCGCCGAGATGCGCTCGGTGCTGTTGGACGAGCGTGTCGAGTGCTTCCTGTGGCAACCAGGCCAGGCAGTCCGAGGGCTTTGAAAATTGTGTCCTTGGCTGTGGGCCATGGCCATGGCGCAGATGGCAGCTCCACCCCGATCGGCCAGACCTACTACGCCTTCGAGGTGAACTTCGACGGGAAGGCTTGGGATTTCCTTGGCCCCGCCCGGCCCCGCATGGCCCGCGAAAGCAACCTTGCAGACGTTGACGAATCGCGCCGTCTTCAATGGATCCTTCGACTTTCACTGGGACGCGCACTCTTCGAAAGCAGCCAAGGCCGGCCGTGGGCCATAGTCGCCACAACCGCTTGCCGCTTGCCATTGTTTGCGCAAGGCCTGGACTTCGCAGCTTGCTGTCGGCCACTGTGATTCTGCGTGCCTGGGTCGATGCAAGCCCAAAGCTACTTCGCCGTGCAGCTTAGCGAAGCTGAGGAGCCCTCTGCCAACTGCGGAATCGCCTGCGCCCACGAAGCGTGTGGTGTCGCGGCGGAATCTGGCGTTGCAATGCCCAGAAATTTCACCCGCTTGCCTGACCTGCCTCAAGTTGAAGGTGTTCGCCCAGTTTCGCTGGGAGGCCATGAAGATGGAGACATGGCAAGAAAGCAAGAAAGCAGCATTGGTTCGGACTGCGCGTGCCAGACTAAGGATCCAGAGAAGGAGATTCGGATCGGCCTGCACCGTGCCCAGCACCCCAAGAGCCTGAAAGCTGGAAATTTCCTGAGCCGAGAGATCTCGGAAGCGCTGCTCCGGGGGATGCTCGGCGAATCTACAGGGACCGAAAATGCTTGCGACTCGCAACCCCCTCAAATGTAGCCTTGCGAGGATGATCTGGACGACCTTCGTCGATCCTGGGGATGCGGAGGTACCCTGCCTTTCCCTTCCATGTCTGCCCGAAGAATCAAGCCCATTCTCCAAGCTCTCGAGATGAATGTCCAGTGAAAGCAGCAGCACAGATTAGCATGATTAGCTGTACGGCTTCAGCTGTCATGTGCACGGAGGTCAACTTCCATCGCAGCTCCCTCTTTGCGAAGTTGCAGCTGCAGCCCGCTAGCAGCTGGGATGAGAGCTGGCAGTAGTGGGGTACCGGGAATTGGAATCCATGTTATTTCGTTTCTTCGTTCGGAGGTGCCGACATCAACTGCTCCTGTTGCGCAGCGCGGCTTTTCTCCTCGAAGGCTCCCCCGCGCACAGCGCAGTGTTTGTTCGGCGCCCAAAAAAAACACCTTCGAAGGCACTCCGCGTGGTTGAGTCGCCACGTCCTTCTCTTGACGAGTGCCCGCCAGGCCCGCTAGGGCCCTGCTCTCGTCCGTGCAAGCGTGTGCAACTTGTGGATGGTTTGCAACTGTTTGCAACATGCATCAGCGCTTTGTGAGGCTCACTGCTGATACGAGCAAGATATGCATCTCTTTGCGGTTCCGACATTCCTTATTTTCGCCGCTAACTTCAATTTCCGCCGTGGGGGATGCCGATGCTTGAAGTTTTGAGCACCGAGGAGACATGACATCGCGAGCGCCCAGCTGTTACTGGGACCGCGACGGCTTTTGCGGGCATGAGGCGGTCCTGGATACGTTGGCGCCATTTGCCGATGCTGAATCGAGACCCTGTCGGCCCTGTCAGGTGGTAGGTGAGGTCCTGGAGTCCGGTTCTTGGAGTCTGGAAATGTGCTACTGCGGCCGGAAGGTCGCCCCCAGCTCAGGTCCAGCACCGAAAGGTTTGCCAAAGGGGATTCCGTTCTCTCCTTGCCGTCCTCCTATTTTAAGGCCGCTTGCTTCGTAAGGCCTTGTCTTGTTGTGTTCAGCAACTCGTCGCAGCTGCTAAAAGGCCCATGTTGCAACGCAGCAAGAGTGGTACGACGAGGCGGTGCACAGCGCCCCTCAGCCGCATTTGGGGTCCGATAGTTGGGTGAGGGACATCCTACTCTGCAGCAGGGGCGGTGGTGGGAGGGGCCGGCCATACAATGAAGCCTTTTCAGACAAAGCTTGCCATTGCCATCCTGTCAGATTTTGTGACTTCTGGGTTTTCGATGGAGGCTCAGAGTCTCGTTAGCCTTGTAATACAGGCTGCTTTCGCCTGCAGGTGTTCGAAGCGGCTGAGCAAGTTGCGATTCCATTGCGCGCTGAGGTGCTTCTAACAAACTTTCCTGTCCGAGGAGGTTTCAGTGTGACGTGACTGAATTCGACGTGATGCTGTGCCGCCAAATCTGTTGTCACGAAAGCTCTCCCCAGGGAGCCTTTCGTTTCAAAAGTCAGAACTTGTTCTGCCAGAAGGCTTAGGGGGTATGGGGG